CCATCATCATCGCCACCACCATCACCATCACAATCACCACTACCATCATCACCACCACAACCACCACCATCACCACCACCACAATCACCTCCACTACCACCACCACCATCACCACCACCACCACCATCACCACCACCAACAGCGATGACAACGACAGCAGCAGCAGCAGCATGTCTATTACCATTCCACATGCACCAGCTAAAAGGAGGAAAACGATAATGAAAGAGTGAAAGCTCCCGGCTTTTGTCTTGTAATTTCTGTCTGGACGCCCCTACAATGATACAAGGGCGTACGTATTGTGCGCGTTGCATAAAATCGATAGAAAAGAAAGCGATCTCCCCAGGTTCCAGAATGAGGCGTTTCATTTTCTATTCCACTCGCCTTTGAATAATATAAAATATGTCCGGGCCAACCTTTCCGCAGAAAGAGACATCTCTATCTCAAACGACCTCATGACAGGGGGACCATGGGAACTGCATCAATACGCAGGTTATATACGGTGCACGCTTACTCGAGGTTGTACGATTTTTGTAGGGTCTGCTTGATGGCCATTTCACAAAGACCACCCTCCTTTTAAATGTTATTGAGGATCGGTTGTTTTTTTCTGAAGGACCTTATTATGCAGATGTCAAAGTTTATTAAAAGTGGATTTCCGTCTTTTAATGAAGCATACAAATTGTATCCCTTTTGTAAGTTGGGTGAATTGTATGACCCACTTTTTCTGTCTGATCCTATCATGCAGAGCCGATATTGCAAAAACTCTTGTACACCTCCCTTTAGACTACGCAGAAGGTCGTGTGATGTAGAGTTCTACTTGAATAAACTAGCAAGCGTTTGTCTGGAAAACTTATGAAATATATACATGTAATAGCAATTCGTTCCGCCAGGGACAGTCTGTATTTTCGGTCATGCGTTTTATAGGCCTAATATTTTCATGATTCTTTGTGAAGTAAACGTTTTGATGACTTCCACGAAAAGGTCACTGCAACTGTTGGCAATGTTCCGAACCAGTAGTCGTTTGAACTAATAGCGACATTTTGGAGCCCAAAAAGTCCCCGGTGCACCATGCACGTGTTGAAAAGTCAAAAGTGAAAAAGAAAGGGATTTTTTTTTCTTTTTACGTATTCAAGGTGAAAGAAACGTTTACAGGATTCAAATGGCAGGGAGATTTTGTGTGGGTAGGTTAGTGTGTTTATGTGTCTGAGGGG